CTTCTATCTACCTCTTTCTTTCTCTCTCTCGCTCTCTTTTCTCTCTCCCCTCCCTCTGTCTCTGTCTCTCTCTCTTCTCTCTCTCTCTCTCTCTCTCTCTCTCTCTGTTCTCTCTCTCTCTTTCTCTTCTTTACCCCTCCCCACTCTCCCCCATCTTCTCCTTATTTTTCCTCACCACCCCGAGTCGCCATCGAGTGCACCACGAATGCTATGCGTGTGTCAATGAGGCGGAACCGAGGGTCCCACACGGGCAATTAACGAGCAGGGAGCTGCTAGCCCTCTCATTAACAACCAGGCATTCGGAGTTCTCCCCGCTATGCACCGCAATGCAGACGAGTTGGCTCCCCCAGGCTCCCAGGGAGCAGACGTGACGGGGATGGTGCATGGTGGCCACCCCAGGGTGTACCATAACACTCGGTGATGGAAGAGAGGTGGGGCCTGGGGGTACAGCCGGGGGTGCAGGGTTGGGGGGGGGATGATAGACGGATGGATGGGTGTGAATAGGTTGTCAGATAGACAGACGGAAAAGCAAAACATAGAGTTTACAAACAGTTTGTAGTATCATAGTATCATAGCAACAGGACAATGGACTAGAAAAAAAAAGAAAAAAAAAGGGGGGTTTTATTTGGGGGGGGGGGGGGGGTGGAAAGCATTTAGCGGCGCTTACCGAAAAAAAAACTAACGCAACAACGCACCTTATTTTAACTCAATAACAACAGTACACTTGGCATCGTAAAATAGAAAGAACATAGAAGAAGAAAAAAAAACACAACTAAGCTTTGATACTGACCAGAATCCCTACGTCCGTCAGTCAAAGAATCAGTAGGACTGTGTCACGCCCTAAGCAACAGGTTCTGGTGATCTCCCCAGCTACTGCGCACTGCCAGGCCCACCGGCACGAAAGATACAGTGAGTGCTCGTCTATTGTCATCATCGAGTGGTGCGGTGGGTGGGCGGTTCCGTGCTTCCTTCCGGTAATCGCAAATTCCCGATTCTTGAAGGGAATCGATGGAATCGAGTCCGAACCCAGTTATTACTTTCTGATCTGATTTCTTCCGAGGAGTCCATGATTTTTAATTTGTTGTTGTTTTCTCCCCTTGTGGTCCGATCCC